TTGATTAATATTTTTGCATCTTAAATTGCTAGACAAGTAATATTTAATTGATTGTTTGGAACATTATTGACTTCGTTATTTGATTATAATATAAATTTTTTATAAAATACATTTTATTTGTTGTTTTATTGTTATTATTTTAAATTAACAAGTTAGCCATTGACTTCATAATATTCTTATAAATTTTACGTGCATACTACAATTTTGGGCCCTAATTTATGAAATTTGCCTTGGACCCCTAAAATCGGCACTGGCTTGTCCAAGTTTCACTCAATTTCGAGTTAATAGTTTGTGTCTCCTGCCCTCTCCAAATATTCCCAACAATTGCATATGATAAGAATTAGCAGCTGCAGCAGAAAACTAGGTACTGAAGGAAGCAAGCCATTTCGGTGCATTTTCTATTCTTCTCGAACAACTTCCACAGTATGCAACTGGTAGCCTATTTGTCTTGTTGACATTCTCCCTATGTGGTGTTTATACTTCACAAATATGGGATTAATGAACCTCTATAACTGGTAGAGGGCTAGTTGCGTTTCATCTATCGTCCTTTGTTCTAATACCGAAGGGCTGGAACCAAATGTGTGTATCCCTTCCCAACTATGTTTCAGAAAGAAAGGCATTTTTTTTTTTTTTTTACAAGGTGTCCGGGCTTGCGTCCGACTAGATCCTTGTCCCTGAACCTCCGGCCCCTCAGCTGCTCAGGGAGGTAAATCGCAGGATGTGCCCTTGTTGGCTCCCAGGTTCCCACAACTCATTTGGACTCTTTCCGCAAAGAGAGCTCTCCTCACTGGGCGTTTGTTCACACCAATGGCTTCCTCTCCATATGGCTCCCAGTGTTAACTCCAGAAAGGCATTTCACTCCGCTTAAAAGGGTTAAAGAAACACCAATCTCGAAACTAGTAAAGCAACTATTAGATTATCTCATAGTTTCCTTATCAGTTTCACAGCAATGGTTCTCATAACACGACATCGCCTAAATAATAAACCATCTTGAAACATAAAACTTCAAGAGAGAGAAAAAAAAAAAAAAAAAAACTCATTTTGCATCTCTTATAAGTGTATTAAAGGGAAAACTGTGAAAAAAAAAATTTTGATAGGTATTACAACAAAGAGAATCCAATGTAAGCACAATATCAACTATCCGATACTACCACGGCCATGTTTCTCAGAACACAACATCATCTAAATAGTGATCAAGTGAAAAACATGTATAAAAGATATCTAATTTTGCAAACTCTACGGGCCTTTTTTTTCTCTTCCTTTGCAATCACACGTTGGTTATCGACTCACTCTGGCTCTTGAAGCGAACTCGATCTACAATTTCAGTTTCAAAAAACTTATTCTCTTATAGTAAATTTGATCATTTAATTATTTTTAGACATCAGGATTGGCTGGGAATTAAGCCTCCATAGTCTTAGCCTTTCTTTGTCATTCTTGATTTTGTCATCAGTAATCTAAACATCACCTGATCACCCTTCGTACCATAAATCGCCATCTTCTTACAGATGTAACCTCCATCGGCCCCTTTGTACAATTTTGATCTGGCAAGTGATCAACAATGCAAAGAAAAGCATTCCCTTCAACAATGCTATAGCTATGGTTGCAATTTTACATCTTCCCCTAATCCTCTTAACAAAAAACCCAGAGAAATTGAGAAATCTCTCGGCAACAGGGAGACTTTGCACTTCAAATGAACCCTTGGGATATAAACCAAATCCAATAATCTAAAAAATACAATTGCCCCTACAACCTTTACAACATCACAGTCAAAACTAAACATGGCCAAGGCAGAAACCCAGAAAAATACACCTTTCAAAAAAGCCCAATATGATCGAAATTTCATCAAATTGCTGGCATATTTACACAATCATAAAAAGCAAGAAGATATTCATAAAATGCACTAATAAAAGTCAAGATCCTGAAAATCAAATTTCATTAAACTGAATTTGAAACATTCATATCTACATTGATTTTTCAGAGACATCTAAATCAGTACAAATAAAGAAAGAACCCCCAATATTTTCGGTCAATTCTTTCACCAACCTTTAAATCATCTACTAGATGAAGCTGTGCTGCACACCAAGGCCATGTTTGCCATACACAGCACCAGGCCTGTTATAGAAATAAGGACCCCTTTTGGATTTGTTAACCCTAGAACTACCTCTCTTCCCCATCTTCCTAATCCTCTGCCTCCCAAACCTGTCCTTCAGCATCCAAGGCACCAACTCATCATCCAACCCAAACCCATCTTCATCGTCCATGTCTTCGTCATCATCATCACGAGCCTCTTCCTCTTGATTATGATCATCACAGCAAACATCAGCGGTGGTCAACGTCAGTTGTGGAGGTGAGACTGACAGAGACTCCACGGAAATGACGTCACCAAGCGATTCACTTCCTTCTTCTTGGTCCTCCTCCTCCTTCCCGTTCTTCGAAGTCATTTCGTCGTCCGTCAAGGAGCAGAGGTCTTCTTGTTCATCATCTTCTGATAAAGATAGGTCCACGAATTCCCACGAGGACAGGTCATCAACGACGTCGTAAGCTTCTTCTTCGACGGAAGAGAAAGACCCCATGATTGTTGCGGTTTTGCTCAACATTCTCAACATTTTCATTTTGAATTGGATTTGTTCTTCGCTCTCCCTTATTCTGAGATCTGTTTTATAGAGGGGTAACGTCTAATAATATATATCGTACTATGTGGTTTTCAATTTTTTTCAATTTTTTTTTTAAATTGAACAAAAATTAGGAAAGTAATTAGCCATTGGACCACGTGTGGGACGGTGATATTCTATTGGTTGGCTTCGCGTGGCAACGGTAGCGCGTCAATTTTTTTTATTCTTTCTACTTTTTTATCTTTATCTTTTTTGACCTTTGCGGAAAAACAAGAAGCATTCGAAACTAGCCTCCCCGCAAAAGCCCATTTTAAAGAATAATATTATTTAGTATTAATGATGTTAAAATATCAGTCTACGTAACTACATTTTATGAATTTAATTAAATAAATTATATGACTTTGTAATTAAATAAATTTATATCATTTAATTCAATATAATTGTTGTCCATACTAATCACTGATAGATAGTATTACTCAATTTTAAATGTCATTTCAAAAAAACTTGAAAATGTACTTGTGGTATCAAAAAGTGAGTTGGACCCATCTTCGTACAATTGTGACTCGACGTAGCACAAGTCATATCATGAATCAAATCCTCAAGAGCACGTAATATTAATGGATCCAATATTATTCTTAGGGAAAATTGCAGTTGAGGTATCAAACCTTTCGTTTATTAGTAGTTTTTGTCCAAACCTTTAGTTTTGTCACCCACAGTCCCAAACCTTTCAAAAATATGCACCGGAGGTTCAAATGGATGGAAATCGTCCGTTTGACTGTTAGTTGACCAATAAAATTGAATTTTGACCAACTTAAAAGGGTAGAAAGGTAAATTTGCTATTTAATTCTATAATAAAACAAATAAACTAATATATCAAATAAAAATAAAAGAAACTACTATTTATCTTCTTCTTTCCCCCACCCACCCAGAAGCCTGATTCCATTGCCCAAAGCCGCCAGTCTCTGGCCAAAAAATCACCCAAATCCACTGCCATTTCCTTGCAAGAAACAATGGCGTCCTAGTTGCGAAAGAAATCACCCTCATAAATTAGATCCCAAGAAACAATACTTTATTGCGAAAAAATCGAACTTAGTTCCCAAAAATCAAGAATCTGAAGAAGAAGAAGAAGAGGAGGAGGAAATGGTCGTGGATTTGGGTGGCTTTTTACCGAGATAGGATATCAAGCAGTAACTACAATTTACTGAGATAAGATTTCATACAACCTGCATCACAATCTCCTATTGGGATCAGAAAAAAAGCATGGACTGTCAAATGATTGCGACAATTTTAATTAAAAAATTGGATTGTTCTGTGTTTTTCTAAGGTGTGATGTAGGAGTTCTTATATGTTCTTTCTCTAAGTTCAATATGAAAATATTCAATTTCTATCACATGGGCTTAAAATCAAGGTTGATCTTGTCGACTCATTTAGATGAAGACTAAGAAATATCTTCATTTATATCACTATTAGAAATTAGAGGGGAGTTTGGTCGGAGACTGTGGTGACGATCGCCCATAGAATCAGTGTTGGGTGTGGTGGCGTCGGGCGGGGTGGGGTAGGATGAAGATGAACAGTATTCCCTTTCTTTTCTTTGATTTTTATTCATTTTGTTTTTACAATATTTTCTTTTATTTTTATTTGGTATATTAGTTTATTTGTTTTATTTTCTTTTATTATTTTTTTTTTTTTTTTTTTTTTTTTTTTTTTTGGGGGTTTTTTTTTCCCTATTAAAATTTTTAAACCATGAGTCAACAGTTGATGCACATTCTTTTCTTAACATACAGCCAAAAGCTTATTATATCATTTACCTAATCAAATGTATGAAATATGCCTCGATTTACAAAAGAAATAATAGGAATAATTACTATAATTCTAGGACTGAAAGCTCAACAGATTCCACACGCAAGTCTTGTAATTGTTGTCGCAGTTAATCAAATGCAAGGCAATTGGGCCTACATTGGGTTATCTGAGGCCCAATTATTGAACAATTCCGCCGATTAAATCTTGGTTTCTAAGTCCCAATTATGAATCAATTTCGACGACTTTCCCATTTCCCAGCAATTGATATACAACTTGAGCTCATTTACAATTAATCGATCCATAAAAGGGAATTGGATTTTAGTTTTAGCACCTTTGTGATTTATTACATTCGTGGAGCATATTTTACCACCTTCGAATTTTTCACAATTATCATTCAATCCTTAAATTAGGAAAATTTCATTACACCAAATCCGCTTCTTCCAATTTATTTTTCTTTATTAAGATCTAATCTTTCTATTTCATCAGTCAAATGTCAATCCCAAATCAAAACAAAAAGGTTGCAGTATACTAATCTACAGTGAAATTAGTTCATAGTGTTTGTTGAAACAAATTATTGCACACGTAAGGTTGATAAGATAATCGAAAGTGGGTATAGTATTGTTCAAATGGATAACACAAAGTAAGCAAAACACTGTTCAAACCACATTGTTCTGTACACATTATACAGTTTGAAAGAAGAATCACAATGGGGTGCTAATGTATTTGAGATGCAAAGCATCGGGCCTTTACCATGTTCTCCATTTTCCTTCCCTTTTCCAGGGTCTCTTTATTTTACAGTTACTCGGGGAGAAATATAAAGAAAGCACAGTGATATACCGGTTAATGAGTTGCATAGAATTCAACTAATGAAAGAATTACACCTCCCATTTTGACGAAAATAACTAGCTGGTGAACAATTACAACCTGCAGCAGAGGGGGGGGGGGGGGGGGGGGAAAGAGGAGAG